TGGCCGATTTATATGGAGCATTAATAAATGTGCTAGGTCTTGGTGAGACAATCCATCGCGATTATCAACAAATACAACATGATGTGGGCCTAGTCCAAAGAAACACTGTCACAACAAGAAGGAGAACCGGCGGTTTAGCTTGTTACGATCTGTCGTACGTGAGCGTCAACGTAGACAATCTGAGGCAATCTTGAATATAGCAGTTCTAATTACGCGCGCTTTCGTTAATTGTTTTGCCACACATACCGGAAGTGAACGTCACGTTTTAGCGCCCCCAATAGTTGTATCTGTACGAATGGTTAATTTCACCATGGCCTGTGGTAAAACTAACCACGTCGATAAATTCCAGTGCGAACGACAGGAAGTTTACCCATTGGAATGTTACCCACAGTCTCGGTAAAAATTTCCCTATTTTAATTCCAGTGCGATTGCGGCTTTAGGCAATTTCAACTGTTTTTTTTTTATTTATTCCATCTTCTTTTGATTCATTTTTTATTTCAATAATTGCATTGGAAGTATACTGATTTTTCTTATACTTCATACTTCTTCAAACTATGATTTCATTTCAATACCATTTTTTGTATTATAACAAATACCACTGTGTAACAAATTGAGAATATGCACCGTTTTGTTAGGGTTTGCTACTTTATTTTGAAAAAGTTTTTATGGATTCTGTTAGTGACCACCAAATATTTATATAATCTTTTAATTTCTATAGCTTATTTTCATAACTATGTTCTCCAGTTTCTATATTATCAATTGTTTAGTTTTAGAAAATCTACTGTTGATATAGTTTAAATACTCCATCCTTTGGTTTTTAGGGATATTTAAGATTGAATTTCATTCTGACATTTAAACAGTGGATGAAAGTTTGTCATAATTTTTATAATGAAATAATTTGGTAGCTGTGTTTGTCTAAATATAAAGAATACTGTTTAGTTAGACTGCAATTTAAATATTAAAAAGGCTAAAAAAAAACAAAAAAAAAAACAAGTCTTTGTTCAACTTTGAACTTCCTAAGATGAATGACACTCACGTAAAGACTACATCCACAAAAGCTTGCAACAAAGTTCACTTCATCAAGGAAAAGGGAGGGTGGAGGGGGGGGGGGGGGGGGTTTTAGTCAGAACACTGTACATCTGAGAACACCATATGTGTGACTATGATTCTAAAAATGGCCTAAACATGTATTCTTAATGAAGAAAAAAACATCACTTTTCATTTAAAATATGGGTGTGATTTAGTGACATGGAGAAGTGTGGGTGAAATTGATGATGACGTATGATGTCCTAGTGATAGAGTGTGTGCAAACTCGAGACAGCCGTCTGCAGAGCCTATCCCAAAACTTGGTTTAAGTCATGCTATCAATACTTTATACCGAAAAACCTTATTTGCAATTTTGATGAATTTCATACACTAAAAACACAAAATGTACAATAATTGTGCCTGATTAGAAAACCACAAATTTATCATGTTTTTGGTCACACACATTTGTCCCCTGTACTTACCATTAAACTAAATTTTGTCCACTCACCTTCAGTATCTGCTACCACAATGGGCTCTGACACTTCACTGGGTTTGCTGCTACCAACACTATTAAGACAACTGACGCGGAAAATCAGTTTGTCATTTTCTTTAAGACTTTTGATGCTATAGCTAGTACTGAAAACATCCTTGGTGACTGTTTTCCAGCTGTTTGTGCCAGCTGGGGCCATTTCTACATGGTAGCCAGTTACTGCAGCACCTCCATCGTAGGTTGTACCAGGCCATACTAAGTTGATCGAGTCCTTGGTAACCTTAGCGGCGTAGGGCTTAGCTGCTGGGGGCTCTGGTATTTCTGAAGGTTCAAATATTTGATTTTTAGTTTTTAGACAGGAATAAGTTAATATACTATAACAAAAATATTATTTTTAGTCCAATTCCACCTCACATGTATATGAATGTTAATATTTAATCTAATGTATATATAATATATGTGCTGTATGAAAAAATATATATATATTGAACCTATATTTATTTTGAATTTTGTATATACAAATCATTTACCTATATAAATATTTACATTTACAGTATATATATATATATATATATATATGTATATATATATATATTTTCTATATATATATTTTCTCTACTGTTCCGTTTAAACTTTATATTATCATTATTTGCATTTATGTGGCTGCTCGTTGTTTTTATTGGTTTATCCCATTTGCCATTAAATTTATATATTTTTATTGAATCTCTTTTTGAGATCCAGCGGGCCGCCATTGATGCACAGTAGAGATTGTATCTTTAGATCTCCGATTAGTCCATGAGACCACCGAC